CCTTCCTTCCTTCCTTCTTTCCTTCCTTCTTTCTTCCCTCCCTCCCTCCCTCCCTTCCTTCCTTTCATACATTATATTTTTACCTCTTCTTCATCATAGAAAACCAGAATTGCAATAGTTGAATGAAAAGTTGTTCAGCATAGCCACAGCATGGAGACATTTTAAAATACTCTCCAAATACCTTCTTGCTAGGCACTAATAAACACAGTGACAGCTGCAGAGTATTTTCATTCCTAACATCATGGTAAAAATAACATCACAAAAAGGATATATCAAGATAAAGTTATGTAGCAGATTGTGCCTTGTTTAAAAATATTTTTAACAGGTGACATTTAGATATGCTCTAGAATAAGAACTTTTTCTAATGACAGGCAGAATCTATATAATCATAATACCTAACAAGAATAAGTGTGCTGAGTTCTGAAGTGCTAACCATTTAGAAACATGGAAATTCTAAACAAGCAAATTGAAATAGAAATTGGTGTCTATATATACATTTTATTGTTCTCAGGAGAAAAAATCTTTAAAAACATACAGGATATTGGCAAATGCCTGTAATTCTGGCAAGTCAGTAGGTGGAAATAGATACATTATAGCTTAAGACCAAAAAAACAAAAGTTAGGCACATTATAGCCTACGACCAAATAAACAAAAGTTAGACTCTATCAAAAAAAAACAAGAAAAAAATTGTAAAAATGTCAAGTAGCACAAGTACTTAGAAGGTAGAGATATAGGGATCACCATTCAAGGCTATCCTTCGAAAACCATGAGATCCTGTCTGAAAAACAAACTAAAATGCAACAAAACTAGAGATAGAACTCAAGTGGTAGAGTGCTTGCTTAGCAAATTCAATCCCTAGGATGGTTTAATTTTTTTTTCCTTAGGGGAAGAATAATTTTTTAAGGATATCATCCCAGTATGCAAGAATTAAAAAAAAATCTTTGGGATAATAATTGCAGTACACTTTTTTTTAAACCATACACATATACCAAGTTAGATGCCTAATCACTACTCAATTTCATTTTATATTAAAAGATCTAGCACTCTCAAACATGACAACAATTAAGCAGGTTTAATGGGCACAGAAGGGAAAATGTATTTCTCCCTCACTCATGAGCTATTCCTATTAAAACAGCGGCACCATCCCCACCCTACGACATCACTTGTCTTGAAAGTTTTCGTGACTCAATGGTTCTTGGATGGAAGCAACCAGTTAAGACTGGTGGGGCTGAAATCACTGGCTATTATGTGAACTATCGTGAGGTAACGGATGGGATACCAGGAAAATGGAGAGAAGCCAACATCAAGGCTGTCAGTGATGCAGCATACAAGGTAAGCAGGGGACTCTACAGTATGCATGTCCTGTGACTGAGGATACGTTTGTGCACAGCATCAGTACCTTATGAAGGGTTTATAGCTTCATGCCAGTTTCCACTGTGTGGATTGTCATGACGATGAACCAGATGCTTTGGTAACCTGGTTTTGCTACCCAGACAGGATTTATGTTTTCTGATTCATATATATAAACATATCTTATAAAACTTACCATAAAATGCATACTTATGGTGAAAATTAACCCTTTCTTTTTTGGTCATTGAGCCACTCAGTGCCTGAGTGCTGATCCTAAGCTCTTTTGCTCAAGGCTAGTGCTCTACCATTTGAGACAGTTGTCACTTCCAATTTTTGAGTGGTTAATTGGAGGTAAGATTCTCATGGGGACTTTTCTGCCCAGGCTGGTTTGAACCATGATCCTCTCAGATCTCGGCTTACTGAGTAGCTAGGATTATAGGTATGAATCACTGGCACCCAACTGAAAACTAACAGTTTTTGTTCTTTCTCTTTGTCTTTTTTATTTGAAAACAAAAAACTATCCTTAGTAGGCGTACAAAGGAGTCTCATGTCACATGCCAGTTTGTGTGTATATTCTTAATCAGTGTCACTACTTTTATTGTTCCCCCCCATATCTTCCAACCCCACCCATTCTCTTAATTTACCTGGTTCCATTTTCATACACACACACATCTTTTCATACATACTTTTTCACAAACATACATACAAACATATATATGAAAATGGAACTGGGTAAATTGAATATATGTGAAAGTGTATGCATTTGACCACCCTTTCCTAATATTTCCCTCAAAACTTGAAAAATATCTGTAACCAATGTCACTAACTTAAAGAGTATGACTTTTACAGAGACTCTGAATTTTTAACTTTCACATATATAATAATACAACATATTATATCATATATAATATTAAAATATGATATGTGATTATATTTTTATATTATATAATAAACATATATGTTCTGAATTTTAACTTTCAGTGTCCAATACAATGGAGAAAAGCACACGGGTTTCATAGCCTGACTTGGCTCCATCTGTGATATATATGTTCTTTATAATAGTGCCCAGCCTGGGGTACATAGCAAGTTTGAGGCTAGTCTAAGCGAAGTAGAGAAGAATCAGGCGTAGTGCGATTCTGACTCTAATAAAAAGAAAATGAAAGGAAAGAAAGATATAAAAATAGACAAAATTCATAGGAAAAGGTATCCAAATTCATTTAACACCCAGAGTGTCAAAACTGGGAACATGTGAAATGCCGGGTGTTTGTTAGTATGCAGAAGAATGGGAATTCTGCCCCAGCATCCCCATGTAGAATTTCATGTAGAGAGAGCCTATAATAGAATACAAAATAAAATGAAACACTATCTCTTATGGCCTTAAAGGGAGTATACCTCTCTACTTAGGGACACCTCCACTGCTTAGTCCACCTCAGAGTACCTAAGGGGTCTCCCTGTTATCATGGCTGAGGGCCCCTTTTTGGAGCACCATGAATTAAGCTCAAGTTACTATCTCCCAACACTTATAGAACTCCATTCTGTGAGCAGTTAGAGCAGGGCAAATGCAGAGAATAGTGCTTTCCCCACCTCAGTGCTACAGTCTTTGAATTTAACATTGGAAAATTTTGAAATACCACACAAAACTGGAAGCACATTGCACAAAGTTATTATCTTTAAGATTCTCCCACATTGGCATATGTAGCTATAACTCATTCTTTTTCAATACTGTATGGTATTCCATTATATGACTGTATCCATTCCATTACTGATTGTTGTATGGGCATTTTTAACCTATATCAAACTGTGTAGCTTTGAACATTTTTGTAGATGTCTGCTGTTACAGACATAAGCAACAATTTCCGTATGAATTTACTAAAGTACAAGTGCTGAGTCACAGGGTTTATTTTCTACTCTTCTAGACAGTTTCCTGAAGGGGGCAGAATTCCCATTCCTTTCTGCATATAACACCTGGCATTTCACATGTTCCCAGTTTTGACACACCAGGTGTTGAATGAATTTGGACACCTTTTCCTATGTATTTTGTCCGTGTGTGTGTGTGTGTGTGTGTGTGTGTGTGTGTGTGTGTGTGTGTGTGCCAGTCCTGGGGCTTGAACTCAGGGTCTGGGCACTGTCCCCAGGCTTCTTTTGCTCAAGGCTAGCACTCTACCACTTGAACCATAGCACCACTTCCAGCTTTTTGTTGTTGTTGTTGTTTCCATATGTGATACTAAGGAATCGAACCCAAGGCTTCATGCATGCTAGGCAAACACTCTACCACTAAGCCATATTTCCAGCCTATTTTGTCCATTTCTATATTTTCCTTTCCTTTTCTTTTACTTAGAGTCAGAATCTCACTACTTATGATTCTCCTGCTACTGCCTTCCCTATACAGGAAAAGCAGTGTATACCACAATGCCTGGTCTGATACCCTCTTTATAATATGCCAATTCAAGTGAGGTTTCCCCCCTATTTTCCTTCTTTCCTTCCTTCTTTCCTACCTTCTTTCCTTCCTTCCTTCCTCCCTTCCTCCCTTCTTCCCTTCCTTCCTTTCCTTTCTTTCTTTCTTTCTTTCTTTCTTTCTTTCTTTCTTTCTTTCTTTCTTTCTTTCTCTCTCTCTCCCTTCCTTCCTTCTTTCCTTCCTTCCTTCCTTCCTTCCTTCCTTCCTTCCTTCTTTCTTTCTTTCTTTCTTTCTTTTTGTGCTCATCTTGGGGCTTGAACTCAAGACCTGGTCACTGTCTCTGAGCTTCTTTTGCTCAAGGCTAGGCCTCTACCACTAGCGCCATAGCACCACTTTTGCTTTTTCTGTGATTAATTGGAGATAAGAGTCTCACCAGACTTTCCTCCCTTAGCTGGCTTCAAACTGCAAACCTCAGATTTTGGCCTCATGAGTAGCTAGGACTACAGGCATGAGGCACCGGCATACAGCTGGTTTTTACAGATTTTTCTTTTAAATCAATCATTTTATTTTGTCCTTTATATTTTTCTGTTAGATGTTTTACCTTCTGTTCTTTCTTGGGTACTACTGAATAGTTTTTTATAAAAATCATTCCATTTCCACCTATACTACATTACAGGGTTCAGATTATAGGGGGTTGGTTTGTTTGTTTCTGTGGCTGAACAGATTTAAATCTGTTAGGTTACTTCCATTGTTTTCCTTGTTTCAGAAATATAAAGGCCTTAGAATACTTTATTTACTTTCTACTCAATTTATAGTCTCTTGGATGTGTGTCTTATATCCTTTTTTAAAAAAAATTGTAACTACTTTCTTTTAGGGATATTTGTTTAGATTTACCTAAATATTTCCCATTTTATTTGCTTTCATTTCTTCACTTTTGACCTTCATCTAAAGTTGTTTTCCTTTGCCCTAAATAAATATTCTAGAATTTCCTTTACAGAGGGTATTCAGAGGGCAAACTGTTCATTTTTGCTTATCTGAAAATAACTTTATTTTTATTTGTTCTCCACAAAATACTTTTTTCTGGGCAAAACTTTCCACAATGGTAGTTATTTTATCTTGTGCTTTGAAGATGTAATTGAATTATCTTCTGGTTTATTTCATTGATATATCAACTCAGTCTGTTTGCTCATTTGCGGATAATTGTCCATTTTTTTTAGACAGCTCTTAATATGCTTATTTATATTTGGTGGGCTACTGTTAAGTTATTATCTGTCTAGATATTTGTATTTTTAAAAAAATTGCCTAGAAATTTGGTGGGAAGAGACAATTTTTAATTTGTGGTTTTGAGCTTCTCAAGATTTCTTCAGAAAATTCTTTTATTTTCTAAAATATTGTTGAGGGCTGGGAAGGTGGCTCAGTGGTAGAGCACTTGCCTTGCATGCCTGAGGCCCTGGGTTCGATTCCTCAGCACCACATAAGAGAAAAGAAAAAAGCTGGAAGTGGCGCTGTGGCTCAAGGGGTAGAGCGCTAGCCTTGAGCTGAAGAGCTGAGGGGCAGTACCCAGGCCCAGAGTTCAGGCCCCATGACCGGACCCCAAAAAAATTTTTAAAAAGTAAAACATTGTTGCAACCAAATTTCTCTGTCTTTATTTCTCCACATTTGTACAAACATTTGAGTGACTTCCTCAGTCTCTTTTCCATGCCTACTAACTATTCTTCTCTTTCCCATCTTGCGTCTTCTTGCACTATGGCCAGTTTACAAATTTTCTACCAGTTTACAAATTCTCTTTTGTGTTTGCTTTTCTGTAAAACATATCCATTTTTTACTTAATTCACTTTCCTTAAAAAAGTGTAGCCTCACAACAACACAATCTTCACTAGAGATATAGAAAATAGGTCACACAGTGAAAAACAGAAACAGTGTAAAAATTTCAATATTGTAAATTCATTCGTCATTCATACACAGACCATTTATTCACAGATACATAAAAATTACCACAAGTGTTGTGGTTTAAAGCAACCCACTTTTTCTAGTCACAGTGTCCAGAAGAAAGGAAGCAAGGAATGGCTTCGCTAGGTCCTCTCCTGGGATCTGACACAGATGGCATGTGGTGTTCACTGGCTGCATTCTCATCCATAGGTGGGCGTGGCCCTTCCAAGCACCCACAGGTTGCTGACAAAATTCAGTTCTTTGCAGCTGTAGGCCTGCTGTTCTTCAAATGCAAGTGGCTGGATAGTTAACAAGTGGCATTTTCGGCTGCAAGGCCACCAGGACAGTGCTTTTCTTCAGGAAGGGCCCAGGCCCCATTTCAAGAGTTCACTGGTTATGTCAAAGCTCATTCAGGATTGAACTAAGGCCTCATGCATCCTAGACAAGTATTGTACCACTGAGCCTCTTTCTTAACTCTTCCTTTTGATCAATCCCCTATCAACTAATTAAAAACCATAATTATATCTGTAATATTCCTTTTCTTTTGCCATGTGATGTAGCTTAGTGACAAACTGACATTCCAATACTTTTGCCATGTTCTTTGGGCTCTAAGCAAGTCATGGGTTTACCTTTACTCTAGGGAGGAGACTATACCTTATGCAAGCAGTGAATAAGTAGAATGTAAAATAACCAGAGTAAAACAAGGACACCATAGAGTATGTTTGACATAGTCAATAAAATGTTAAACCACTAGAAAGCATGGTTCTGAAGCATTCATCACCTGTGATCTTGTTAATGTTGCAGATTAGCGAATTGAAGGAGAACACGGTATATCAGTTCCAAGTGGCAGCCATGAACATTGCAGGGTTGGGGGCACCCTCTGCAGTCAGTGAATGCTTCAAGTGTGAAGAATGGACCATTGCTGTTCCAGGTAACCCATAGAAACTGTGGAAACCATGTCTCAGTATTGTGCTTGGATTTTCTCCTAGCAGAGCCTACAACTTAACTCAATTGAAGTATTAAATAGATAATATTGAAGACAACTGAGTTCCCTTGGTCCATCATGCTTACCTAAATTTTTGTATGATAATACTAAAATATACATTGCAATATAAAACTAACAAATTGTGTTCCAAATAATTCCCAGAGTCGCCTTTGCTCAGAATCTGTTAGAGTTGGATTGACTGGAGTACACAATTTGATTGTCAAATGAGTCTTTAAAGGGAGTTCCAATCTTTGATTTTGCATCTTAAAGACTATTAAAGGCATCCAATTCATGTTCCACTGCACAATTTTTAAAAATGTCTTAACATACATCATGGTTATTCATTCTCCCACTGCCCTGAAGTCTTTTTTTTTTTAATCAAGTCTCTCTTAGCCTGTGACTACTCCCTGGTATTTGTCCTCTACCCTCTTTCCAGCTTTTCATTATATTACCTTGGTAGATACATCATAGCATGTAAGTCTGGCCTCTCTCCATTTCCCTCCCTCTTTTTTTATTACCCTCCCCCCCTTTCTCTGTGTTTCTGTCTCTCTGTGTCTCTCTCTGTCTCTCTGTCTCTGTCTCTCTTTCTCTCCCCCGCCCTGAAGTTATCATGGAAATTGTTAGGGAGACAAAGAAGAAAATTGAAAATAGGCAGACAATCTTACCTAGGCTTAACACCTCTTTCAGAGTTGTAAAACTGAATAAATGTAAATTTTGAATACAAATTTTTTAAGCAGTTAAGATTCAAACCAGCATTTCCACTGTCTGTAGCGAATGATTTTATTTTGCTCCTGATAGGACTGACTCTGAGACCCAACTTCTTTCCACATTATAGGATGACTAAGTGCTTCCTCCTGGTTTTATATTTAGCTTATCTAACAACTGCCATAGTACCACCATAGACATGAGTTTCCTAGGCCACTCTACAAAATCCTGGGTAGACAACAGTCTTGATCCCCATGCTACCCCTTCTCTACTTGAAACCCTACACACTTGAAAAACCACTATGTTACCTTCACTTAGAGAATACGGACTTGCATTGCTTCTCTGCAAAGCATGAATAAAAACAAGAGATAGGTGTGGTTCAAGTGGTAGAGTAAGTGCTTGTACTTGCTAGGCAAGTGCAAGGCCATGACTTCAAACCCCAGTACCACCAACAATAAATTACAAGAGAACTGAGGACTCAAGAGTTCATTCAGCTTCATAAATACAAAGGGGCCAGTAAGTGTTTCTTACATTCTTTCTGCCAATTGCACAAAAGAATGCTTTCAAATTTTGTAATTCCTGAATAAAGTTAAATGAGAGTGATTGAAGACTTAGACTTTCTGAACAGATTTGTAGAAAGTACTGTAATAGGAAGTGATGTTGTTACCAAAGAAAGTTGCAAACGTGAATGCTCAAGAGAAGAAATGAATGACCACCCAGCCTCTCAGACTCATCCTTGATTTGCTGAGTAGGTTTGGGCCAGCCATGTGTTAAGAGAGGTCTTATAGAAGAGAGAAGGAACAATGTTTTGTCTCCATTGCATTGTACAAATGAAAAGACTGAATTCAGCTTAAATGACACATGGAATGCCTCACAAGTATAAATAGCAAGCTAGGAACTGTACGTGAAATCTTCTTTTCCTGTACAAAGGGCCTAGTTCCTCCTCTGTAAATAGAGCCAATGTTGTCTGTTTGGTTGCCTCATTGAGTTTTAAGGACACAAGACCATGGTCATTGGGCAAACAGAACATGCCACACCAGGGTCAGTTTTGGCAATAATATTTAAGCGTATTTAAATACAAGATATCAGAAGATGAGAATGACGCATATATGAAATTGTTAAGTCAAGGTTAATGGTGAAACAAATATTGAACTATCAATTGCAAAATTTTAAAATGCAGAATAGTCAAGTCTGTGTTTGTAGTTGCTTTAGGCAGCTGTGAGTCACTTCAGGTGATTTTGATTGCTTAGTTAAAAGTTGTTACTTGAAAAGAGGGAAAAAAACTAACGCCACCTGAATTAGCAACTAATAGTCCTACAAAGACACAGGTGATCACATAATAAGTTAGGCTCTCCCAAGAATTCAGAGAGAATACACACAGGGCCCATCCTGACATTCTCCCTTTTGAGAGCTATCAACATACTTGGCTCCTGGGAACTTCTTATTAATTTTCCTAGGGATGATTGACATCACTGAATATAAAACACTTGGTAGTATTTAGCACAAATTCAGAGCCCATGAGATCACTATATATATTTTTTTTGGCAAAAGTTTTTCATGAACTGTAAACTTTCATTCACATTTTTTTTAATTTTATTTTATTTTATTTGTGAACATACTGTACAGAGGGGTTACAATTGCATGGGCAGGATAATGCGTACATTTCTTACCAAGCATTGCAGCCTCCTTGTTTACCCTTCCCATCCCTTCCCAGCCTCCCCCCCCCCCCCCATTCCAATCCTTCTCCTTCCCCCCCCCCTCCCCCCCCCTCCCCCCCCCACCCCCCCCCCCCCGCACCGACGTTGTAAAGCTCGTTTTGGACATGACAACTTGTACTTCTCATTGTTGCATCAGATCCACCTGTATACTTAAACAACTGGTTTTTCCCCATCTCCTCTACAAGTTATACTGACATCAAATATAGTGAAAGCAGGGGTTCATTCACATTTTTTAACCCATTTTGGGGATGTAGGAAAAAAAATTTCCCTCCAAGTGGAAGTTACTTCTTTTTCCTTTGAAAGAATGATTTCATCAATTATATTCTTGCTCTCTATATTTATATGCCAACAAATAGAGTTTCTGTCTTCAAACTATTAGACAGTGACACTCTCACTCAAAAATATGTTTAAACCACTGAGGGAAGATGATGAACACGTGCCTCAGAATGGCTGAGGGGAGTTTTAATCCAGTTCCAAGAACCTTGATGTGCCCAACTGCCCTCCCACCCCCACATGAGAGGACCTAGTAAGTTGAAACACAGCAGGTGTGAAAACTGGATGAGAAATAATGCCAACATACTTCCTTTCATGAGAAGCTAGATTTTTTTAAAGCACCAGCATCAGATGCAGATGTTAAGATCCTTAAATGTGGCTATAAATTTGTTTTCTTATCTACATCATGACTTCAATTAGTTGACTTTTCACATCTCTCTGTTTCTGCTTCTGTCATCTGTCTCTGTCTCTGCCTGTCTATCTTTCTGTCTCTGTATCCCTCTGTTTTTCTGTCTTATTTCTTTTTCTGTCTCTCTCTAGGACCACCGCATAGTCTTAAATACAGTGAAGTCAGGAAGAACTCCCTGGTTCTCCAGTGGAAACCTCCAGTCTACTCTGGGCGGACTCCAGTCACTGGTTACTTTGTAGACTTGAAGGAAACCAGTGCCAAAGACGACCAATGGCGAGGACTCAATAAAGCAGCCATTCAAAACAAATACCTGAAGGTAGGAGGATGCTCAGATTTAGAGCTTGCTTTCCTCCTCTTAAAAGGAAAAATGAGCTGGAGTTGTGCTCAAATGGTGGAGCAGCACAAAGCAAGCAAGCCCAGCAAGCAATATTGGGGGGGGGAGGAAAAATGCTGTACTAATATTAACATTAAAGTTGGCAAGAAAAGAGTTTCCCTGTTTGGTCTGTTTAATGTATTTGCTCCTGGTAAGGTTCCATTGGTAGTGGAACTTTTTTGGTGCTTGAAACAATTCAGAGATTTTTCACCTAAATTCCTTATTCAAGTCTGGAAAACATCCACTAGCTCCTTCACCTTCCTTCTTTCCTGCTTTGTTTCCCTCATAGTCTTAAAAGTTCCTGCTTGTTACTGTCCTTCAGACATGACCCTGTTTTCATTTGTACCCCTAATTGTTTCTGAAGGTGGCCTTTTACTTGAGGATGCTGTTGTTATAGAGGTTGAATCCATATGTCTTTAACTGTGGCTTCCTTTCCATCCTAACACACCCGGTCGCAGCTCACATGTTTCCTCATGCTTGCTTTGCTCAGCATCAGTGGGATGGGTTTCCTGGACTCTTGACCTGAGCTTCACCTTGAACCATGTCACTGCCCTCTGGATTCCCCTAGAACTGAACCAGTGCCTGCCTCTGACTCCAAAGGCTGTTGTACTAAAGCCTATAGGGAAATCTCCAAAGATTGTTGTCCCCTGTTGTTGACAGAGTACCTGAAGGTCCCAGGTCCACTGAAGGACCTCAGAAAGTATTGCGGAAGATCACCTCCATAAAGTGAGGCATGACTTCACTGCAGTCATTCAGAAAGTTGCACACGGCGTTCACAAAGAAAGAATTCAGCCCCACATAATCCTTTTACATTGACAAGTATAGCCTGGTGAGCCAAACTGATGAGAAGGGAGTAATTGGAAGGGTGGGGGCCATAGATTGAGAGGCAAAGGAAAGCAGTTCCTTTTGAAAGTGTAGGAAGGAAAGCAATCCAAGGTAAGCAGAGTAGATATCCATAGACTGTGTGTATTTGTGGCACTGTTGAGCCATTGGCCTTTGTCCTCTGGGCAATGGGAGAAAGGAAGTCATGCCAGTGACTAGGCACTAGAATGCAGATTTTCTTCCTGTGTTATGGAAATCTGACTCACAGCCACACATCACCTGTGTGGTAGGTGTAGGTGTGTCAGTCACCTGATAATCAGTTCATCCTTATCACAACAAGGAAATATTTCTGTTCCCTTTTTGAAATCAGCATTTCACTGGTATTATTTCTAAACAAAATCTGAAATATATAAAATCTTAAGCATTTAGCTTGTGGCTAAGTTCAAGTTCACTTACAGATGGAAATTCATTTTAAAAAATCTATTTGTTGTAGTGAAAGGCATTACTACAGAAATATACATTGTCACCAATATAATATAACCAAATAGGTTAAAAACCTAACAGCTTACTGCATAGTTGGTTTGAATGCTTGGTCATAAAAAGCTTAATTAATTGAATAAGGTATTCTAGCACTGTATGATTTAATTCAGATCTTGGATATATTTCTATCACAGCCTTAGGGGAAGAATTATGCCCTGTATGTGTAACAAAATTCCTTTCATATGTGTGTTTGTGACAACAAATGAAGTTGAAGTAGTTTCTTCACAATTTATTTTTGGTGGTTACTAGTTATTGAACCCAGGGCTTTGCTTGCTAGGCAAGTGCTTTACAATTTGAGGTATACCCCTAGCCCAACAGAAAATATCTTGAGGATTAAAAACTTAAGGATGTAGAGTTTTAATACACTTTGATTATTTACCAAATGACTTAAATTCTCAAGTATGTTAATATCTTGTCTAGGAAAATATAGTCATATTACAGGGACAATGTTTGTTTTGTTTGGGTGTCTTAGATTGGTTTTAATTCTCTCTTGCCAAGAATTTTATCTGAAATTATTCTTAGAATATCTCAAAAAGATCAAAAGGGCAAAGTGAACACTTTGTTTTTGCCTTTTTGACCAAAGAAACCAAAGAATAAGGTAGCTAATTTATTTTAAAAATGCCTAGTCTATTTCTGATGTTGGAAGCCATTAAGGTATATAGACTATTCCTCTTCTACTGACAACTGCTCCAGAGAGATAATAGTTTGCTTAAAGCCACCCAATTAGTCACAGAGAGAATCTACTCATAGCAAAAGTTCTATATCCTTGGTGCTATATGACTAATTGCTATTGCAGAGGAAGAACACATCTGCTTGAGTAACATACAACTCTCAATTGTTTCAACACCTAATTCTTCCAGGTGGACGGCCTCAAGGAGGGCATCAGCTATGTTTTCCGTGTCCGAGCTATCAACCAGGCAGGTGTTGGGAAGCCTTCTGATCTTGCTGGCCCTGTTGTGGCAGAAACACGTCCAGGTGGGTGATTAATTTTTCATTAAGGCTCCTTTCAGTCTGGTGAGGTAGCTCAGTGGTAGAGCACTGGCCTAACATGTACAGGACCTGGATTTGAATCTCAGCAGCACAAAGAAAAAGATTTATCTGTGTAAGATACTGATGTAACATTTAGGCTACCTTTCAGTGCTTTCTTTGATTCTCAAAAGCATCAGTGTGTCATGTGAGGCACCTGGGAACAGGCATGAGTCAGGCTAGAAATGGTTCGGGAGCTGTTCAGATTCTGTTCCCCCAAACAGGGAAACTCCGGGTCAAAACATGCTTTCTGGACCAACTCATCTAAGGATACATTCTGGGAAATATTTTTTATTATGTCCTAGCCAGTAAGTCCTAGAAGATATTTTCCAATCACGGGGGGATGCAGGAATTGTTCATTTAGCAGGTTCAGTCCCTAAATAAATGTAGATATAGGTGATTACGGCCGTTAAGTTCGACCAACTTAAGTTCGACCAACTTCCTATAAAGGGCCAGGTAGTAAATATTTTTAACTTTACAGCCATATGGTTCTTCTCACAGCTACTTAGCTTTGTTATGACATGAAAGCAACTATAGAAAAGACATAAGCCAACAAGCCTGGCTGTGTTCCAATAAAATACTTTATTATGTGCATTACACATGTATCAATACCATGAGCTACATGTATTATAGAGTTGGAATTTTCCCATATCTCGAAATATTTTTTCAGCTATTTAAAAATATAGAAACTACTCTTATCTTGTGGGCCAGACAGAAAGAGGTACAACTTCAGATTTAGCCTACAAACTACAGTTTACTGACCCATAACTAACAGTGCCTTCACTTGCTAGGTTCAAAAGATACTATGGTTGGACTAGAGAAGACAGTGCCTCTTTATCATAAGAACAAAGTTTGCAGTGTTCTTTGTCTATAGAGTTTCATATCAGTACATAATAAAAAAAAACTTTCAATCATTCAACCTGTATCATTTTTAAAGTGACACATTTTAGTTCATTGAAGTTACATCAAAGAAAGCACTAGAAACTACTGGTTATTTAAAAATTTATCTTTATTCTAGTCTAAGGAATTTTACCTTAATCTGTCCCTATTTTCAGAACTGAAATCAAGAACTAAAATAAATACCATGATCTCATTTATTTTTCTGATGAGTGAAATATAAACATAGGAAGCTCCTAATCTGGGACGAACTGTCTGCCTTTAAATAAGGTAACACACGAAGGCATCAGGAACATCAGGACATATGCTGTGATAGAAATCAGACCCTTCCTTTGTTAACTGGTTGGATATTAAAGGTACCAAATGGACATGTGAGAAGACCCAATACATTTTCTGCCCTCATGAGAACATTTAGATTGCTATGAGTAAACTTGAATTGACTGAAGAAATACCAATTTCATATTTTCTCATCAGTAGCCAGGTCTGACCTTAACAAAGTAATCACAGGGGAATTTGGCCATCCGAGAAGGATCTCATCATTAATAATGTCCTTTGGAGTAAGAACTTTTTCTTCACTGGAATAAGGCACAAAAATCATTTTTGTGGCCTTTCCACTCCTGGACTGCAATTCAAGCAACAGCTGCGTGCATGGACACACTATATAACACTGTTTTAACCAATCAAACAACAACTGGCCCACAGAGATCCATCCCAGGCACACAAAATCAAAATGCCTCCCATGCTATATCACCATAACTCCAGTGATATTTAGATTTGCCTTTTAGGCAGCAGGCACCTTCATTCTTGCATGTATTTGTGAGGTGTGGTTGCATGCCATGTGCTGAGTGCATGCTGGGAATGATGTGGCATCAATCCCACACACTGGCTTTACCATCTATAGGAAATGCCAGGGCTTACAACATCATGAGAGCTAGAACAGGTGTTCATGAAAAGTCCCCATAGCCAAATAGTCTATAAACTAGGCATCAAGGTTGCAAGTTTGAGTAAAAACCAAAAACAAAAATCATTTAATCTAAAATTGCCCATATTTCTTAATCTTATATAATATCAATATATTATTTTTACCCACTAATTGTATGTTAGAATCAAATAACAAGTTGAGCTGGGAGAGGCATGCTCTTTATTTCAAGATTTGGGGAGTGAAACTTAGACCACTTTTTCAAAAAAGCACCCTCTTTGGAACACATTGATAAAATTTCAGGGAGAAAATAAAGTTTATCATGTAACAGAATACCACAGATTCTATCAAGATACCTCAAGTGTAACTGAAGTCAATTGGAAGTTAACCCACTGAGGTTGGCAGGATCATTGGTTTTCTTTGAAATCAGCGAATACACAGCAGCCACTGCTACAAAGTCTAACTGTCTTTAGTAATGAGGATCCAGATAACAAAGGATCCAGATAACAGTCTGTCATGCTTTCTCAAGTAATCCTTAACATGAATAGAGCTACAAATAGAATAAGCTGAGACATATTTAACATACATTTGCTGGTATGTAAAAAAGACATTCTTTCCTGGATTTTTGGTATTTTTAAGCCACATCTATGTTTGCATCAGGCCTACGATGGATATGGAGGCCAGTTGAGCCTGGATAAGTGTGAGACAAGAAAGAGACTTGACCAAGGTGTGCAGGTGATCTGGAGGTCAGCAGGCTGGTGACACAGGTAACAGGTGTTCTTACTAGAGAAACAGAGTAGTGAGTGTGAGGATCAAGTGATGGAAAGAGAATCCAGATGCCAGGCAATGTTCCCAGAAGAACTAGGTTAAAGACAGTTAAGCCTTGGTCACAAGGAGCAAGGCAGGTTAGGAAAATACATAACCAGAGGGCATAATGAGTTGGGATTAGGTTGACAACCTAGTGACCAAGGGCACAGTACAATCTCAGTCTCTAAAAATTGCTTGACCAAGAACCTGGTAAGGCTGAAAAGGCAAATATGTGCCCTAAGTTCTTGTAGTAAAGTCTTGAAGGATTCTGAAGCCAAATAGGCTAACAATAAGCTCAACTGGCTAATTTTGAAAACTGCACTCATATCAGTTTACTAACAGATATCCTTCATCTACTAGAAGAGCAGTTCTCAATGTGAGCTGTGCATTAGAATTGTGTCATGAACTTTGAAAATATTGATATTCTTTATATTTCATATCAATGAAATCTGAATCTCTAGGGCTGAGCCTAGATGAATGTTTATTGTTGTTTGCTTAACTCCTTCGGTGATTACAATCTGAAGCCAGGCTTGAGGGGTATTATTTAGACTCTTCTCTTTTCTCATTAAGTGACTATTCTGTTCTGGCTAGTGAGTATGAGTCTGTTTTGCAGTCTCTGTATGTACACTTAACCCTAGGCATCTTGTAGTTCATGCCCAGGTTGTGAAGGGTGAGTGGAAAAGATGCATCCCATGGAGACTGATATAGGCACCAGAGTGATGAGTTAACCAACAGTCTTCATCATAAACTTGTACACCTGCTCTGTATTACATGTGACTGGCTGCAGTAATTCATTCACTTCTAGTTTATTTTGCCATTCCCTCTAGTTTTTTAAATATAATTTTGTTGTTATTGAATTGTTGTACAGAGGTGTTACCCATTCCATAACTCAAGTAATGAGTATGGTTCTTTGTGGACAATGTTACTTGTTCTTTTGCTTTCCCCCAGTTTTCCCCTCCTGTCCCTGCCCACAAGTTACATAGTTCACTTTTTACATATTTATATTGAATACCACCCTTCAGTTTAAAAACAAACAAACAAAAACATCCAGCTAGGTGCTGGTAGCTCATTAGTGTAATCCTAGCTACTCAGGCGACTGAGATCTGGTCATGATTTGAAGCCAATCTGGGCAGAAAAGCTCATGAGTCTCTTATTTACAATTAAGCACCAAAAATGCTGGAAGTAGAGCTGTGGTCAAGTGGAAGAGAACTATCCTCAAGTGAACAAAAGTCCAGTACAGTGCCCAGGCCCTAAATTCAAGTCTCAGGACTGGCACACACATGTGCACGTGCACACAAGCACACACACATACACACAATCCCAAATACACATGCTCATGAACACTCACACACACCATAGAAGACAACTAATAAAAGCTTATAAAAGTGATTTATTTATGCTGTTGTGGAAGGCTGCAAACTATGAGGCAAAATTCTCTATCAGATTATGAAATGTATAGAGTCTATTAGGACTTTATGTCAGCTTTTAAATCTTATCTTTTGCTTTTTTATTTCTCTTTCCATAACTTATATAAAAAGCATCTGAATGTTAAAGGCAAAAAATATGACACTGTAATGTAGATTGTATAATATATGCAAATATAATATGCATGACAATAACAACACAAAGTAAAAGATAAGAGATAAATTCTATCTTTTTGTAATCTTGAGTTTTGGTTTAGGTGTTTGTTTGTTTTGGGAGAGAGAGACATGTGGGATGAAATTAATTTTCTTCAAGCATTTTATCTTTGGCTCACACCTAGTCCATTTGTAGCATGGAGTTTCCTGGTCTGCACGAACTATGAAAATGCCCTGGTATGCAATGAGGCCTCCCTCACTTCCCACACTAAGGATTTATTTAGGACTGAGGAGCTGAGTAGAAACAACTCTTCTTAAATCTTTTTTAAACTAAAATAATCTCTTTAATTTATACTACCCAAATTTCCTAATATGTCTACTGAATTCTTCAGTTTTGAACAGGTTCATAAGACTTTTTGTATTTGTTTGTTTGAAACTTGGTCCTCAGATCTCAGCCAGCTGAGTAATAAGGGTTATAGGAGTCCAGTTCAAAAGACAATCCATGATAAATTTGTATTTTCTTTTCTAGTTCACTTTTGGAAAAAGGGCCAACCTTTGACCTGTCAGAAAAATCACACTCCCTTCCTTGGTAGTAGACCTTGATGAGTGCTTCCTTCCCATTAAGTTGATCAGACATTCCTTAGGTTTAGAGAATGTCTCTTAAGGTATTAGTCAGTGTTCAAACATACCTGACTAGCTCTGCTTTAGGCAAAACCTTTGTTAAACCCTGGAACATCCTAAAAAGGAAA